AAAAAAAAAAAAAAAATACAGCAGTTGAAAGAATTTTACAGAAACCCCCCCCAACAACCACTCATATACCCCACTACCTAGGTTTTGTCATTCACATTTTTTTATGTGTGCTTTATCATGTATTTGTCCATCCATTTTATTTTTGGTGCATTTCAAAGTTCATTGCCAACATCAGCACACTTTCTCCTAAATACTTCAGCATGCACATGATTACATAGAGCTCAGCGTTTATAGTTTTTTTGCTTTTTTTTTTTTTTTTTGAGACAGTCTCATTATGTTGCCCTTGGTAGAGTGCCTGGCGTCACAACTCACAGCAACCTCTAAGTCTTGGGCTTAAGCGAGTCTCTTGCCTCAGCCTCCCAAGTAGCTGGACTACAGGTGCCTGCCACAATGCCCGACTATTTTTAGAGATGGGTTCTTGCTCTGGCTCAGGCTGGTCTCCAACCTGTGAGCTTAGGCAATCCACCCACCTTGGCCTCTCAGAGTGCTAGGATTACAGGCATAAGCCACCTTGGCTAGCCCTTAGCTAATTTTTTAAAAAAGTTTTTTGTAAAGACAGTATCTTGCTATGTTGTCCAGGTTGGTCTTAGACTCCTGGCTTTAAGTGATCCTCTCGTCAGCCTCCCAGGGTGTTAGGATTATAGACAGTAACCACTGTGCCCAGCCATCAAAAATGAGTTTTGACGGTACATCATGACAGAGTGTTACACCTCTCTGGAGAACTCCTTCAAGCCTCCATCTCTCTTTCTCTCAAAGAAAACCACTGTTCTTGCTGTTTTCCACCTTCCGTTAGTTTTGTTGGCTCTAGAATGTCACAGGTGTGGAATCTTACAGCGTGTGGCCTTTTGTGCCTGGCTTCTTTCACTCAAGGTAGTGCTTCTGGGATGTGTCCATGCTAATGTCTAATTCGTGGATCATTATGAAAGTTTTGAGATATCCAAAAATCAAGAAATGTAAAATCTGCTCAGATGGAAACAAAGGAAGCCCTCCCAGCAAGAGCGATAAGCTGGCTCCGTGCCTATAGCTCAACCGGCTAAGGCGCCAGCCACGTACACCTAAGGTGGCGGGTTCAAATCCCCAGCCCGGACCCGCCAAACAACAATGACGG